TGAAAAAAACTAAGCGAAAGAAACGATGTTTGGTGTCCGAAAAATCGAAAATAAGAAGAATCCGTAAGTAATCCGTAGCTACTTAGCTACGGATTAGCTACGGATATTTCTTATTTTCGATTTTTTGGACACCAAACATCGTTTTTTCCTCTTCGTTTTTTTCGCACCTCTATTATAGATGATTATATATATTTTCACCAACTTATATCTATTAATATCGTTCATATAGTCGTGTGCACCTACGGGATTTAATGGTTTAACACTATAATGCTTATTAATACATTCACATACAAATACTCACAAACACGTATACATACACATACACATGTAAAAATATACCACAACTCATTCATGTACATAAATATACATATACAAACATAAACCCATCACAAGTTGGTGAAAAGTATAGGCATAAATGTTAAACCGTGAAACGAGTACTTGATTCCGAAGGTGCACACGACTTTATGAATGATATTAATAGCTATAAGTTGGTGAAAATATAGATAATAATGTATAATAGAGGTGTGAAAAAAAACTAAGCGAAAAAAACGACGTTTGGTGTCCGAAAAATCGAAAATAAAATGAATCCGTAGCTACTTAGCTACGGGTATTTCTTATTTTCCATTTTTCGGACACCAAATATCGTTTTTACCGCTTCGTTTTTTTCGCACCTCTATTATACATGATTATCTATATTTTCACCAACTTATATCTATTAATATCGTTCATATAGTCGTGTGCACCTACGAGATCCATTACTCGTTTAATGGTTTAACACTATAATGCTTATTAATACATTGACATACAAATATTCACAAACACTTATACATACACATACACATGTACACATATACCACAACTCATTCATGTACATAAATATACATATACAAACATAAATCCATCACAAGTTGGTGAAAAGTATAGGCATTACAATGTTAAACCGTGAAACGAGTACTTGATTTTGAAGGTGCACACGACTTTATGAATGATATTAATAGCTATAAGTTGGTGAAATATAGATAATCATGTATATTAGAGGTGTGAAAAAAACTAAGCGAAAAAAACGACATTTGTTGTCCGGAAAATCGAAAATAAGAAGAATCTGTAGCTAATCCGTAGCTACTTAGCTACGGATTAGCTTCGGATATTTCTTATTTTCCATTTTTCGGACACCAAACATCATTTTTTCCGCTTCGTTTTTTTCGCACCTCTATTATACATGATTATCTATATTTTCACCAACTTATATCTATTAATATCGTTCATATAGTCGTGTGCACCTACGGGATCCATTACTCGTTTAATGGTTTAACACTATAATGCTTATTAATACATTCACATACAAATACTCACAAACACGTATACATACACATACACATGTACACATATACCACAACTCATTCATGTACATAAATATACATATACAAACATAAACTCATCACAAGTTGGTGAAAAGTATACGCATTACAATGTTAAACCGTGAGACGAGTACTTGATTTCGAAGGTGCACACGACTTTATGAATGATATTAATAGCTATAAGTTTGTGAAAATATAGATAATCATGTATAATAGAGGTGTGAAAAAACTAAGCGAAAAAAACGACGTTTGGTGTCCAAAAAATTGAAAATAAGAAGAATTTGTAGCTAATCTGTAGCTACTTAGCTACGGATTAGCTACGGATATTTCTTATTTTCGATTTTTCGGACACCAAACATCGTTTTTTCCGTCCGTAGCTAATCCGTAGCAGACTCCGAAGCTAGGCCGTAGCAAATCAGTAGGTATTTGTTTTAATTAAAATCCCTCATCTTTTGCTGGATTTGAATACGCTCGACGAACAAATAGAAACAGACCACACTGGACGAACTGAAAAGAAAAAAACCACACTGAAGGCGACCACAACTCTCGTTCATCGACCCTCTTCTCCGTCGACTTTGCAGTCGCCGCCTGACTCGGTTTCTTCCCCGCCACATCTTCCCTCCTCTCTTTCGGCCTCTTTGCTCAATTCTTCCCCAAAAAGGTAAAACTCTAGTTTTATTTATTTATTTATTTTTTGAAATTACTTCATGTATACAATTTAGATGCTTTATTCATTGATAATGTTGATTTGTTTTGTTGAATGTGAGGTTTTAGATTATATTTTAGGTCGATTTTCAGCTTGTGGACACAAGATGTGAATGTAATTTCGCTAAGTATTGCTTGTTTCCCAATTTGACACTTATTAGTTCTAAATTTGTAGAAAAGAGCCGCCTTTAATACACCATCTTGATTCTTGAGGTAACAATCTTTTTCCCTTGTTTCGTTGTTTTGATGCTTTCACGATTATCAATAAAATATATCGATTGTTGTCTTGAAGTTTGAATATCTCTACCCATGTTTTCCACATGCATGCATTTTGTTCTCTCTTAATGTCATAATGCTACTTAAAATTTCAAATCACTATATCCCCTGTTTCTTGTTCCCTTTTTTATATACACCAATTCATTAACTTCACAATTGTAATCAGATTTTGATTATATCTTTTCTTTTTTTTGGGATTTCTAAAAACATTTTGTTTTACACATTGGGTTTCTGGATCTCTTTTCTGCTGCTTCTATGCCTATTCTCAAGGTTCTGTAGTTACTGCACTTGGCTCATTTCTTGCACTGGATTCTACTGATATCTTGGGACAAAGTACAAGGAAGCAAGTCAATAATGTAAGTTTTTAACTGCCCTTTAGTTATTCAAGAAAGCATACGTTGTAAATTCAAGTTAGAGATCGTCGGTTGTGCATTGTTGACTTGTAATGTACAAGTCGGTATTGCACTTTAGGACTAGTCCACCGTGCACTTTGGTGGTCCCTCTTTGCTTAAGCTTACTAATAGTACAAAATCCTTGTTTCAGTTTTTCTAATTATGGAATTCAAATACCCATGTTCAAGAAAGTTGCCAATTTGATTAAAGATTCGATTTTTCTGATCATAGGCTAGTATACAACGATTTTGATTTCATCATTTCATGGCTCTAATTTCAGTCTCTATTTAGTCTTTGCCGATTATAGAAAAATCTAAATATGATTAAATATACGATTTTCTTAATATGGGACTCATAGTACTCCTTCGTATTTTGATCAGATTGTGTTCTTTGTGTTCAATCCAGCACTTGTGGGCAACAATCTTGCAGGAACAATCACCCTTGAGAGCATCATTTCTATGTAATAATCTTTCTTGTGTTGTTTTAAAAATGTTGTCACAGTTTGAAGATTAACTGTTAAACTTGGACAATGGAATGGAAAGTCTCAAACTTGATATTAGGGACGTTTTTTGGTGTATTCTATATGTTATTTGGGACAAATTTGAATTGAATGTGTTATTTGACAAAAAATTGGAAATTTTTAAATTTTAAATTTTTTTTTTAAATAAAACGAAGTTAGCTACGGAATAGCTACGGATTTCCGTAGTTATTTAGTTCCGTAGCTATTCCGTAGCTATTTATTTTCGTAGCTATTCTGAAGCTATCCACTTCCGTAGCTACTTAGATCCGTAGCTATTTAGTTACGTAGCTATCTATTTCTGTAGCTATTCTGTAGAAAATCTGTAGCTATTTATTTCCGTAGCTATGGTAGCTACGGAAAATTCCGTAGCTATTCCCTAGCTAATCCGTAGCTATAATTTAGTCACGGGCCATTATGCTACAACCATTTTTCCGTACCATTCCGTAGCTATCCGCTTATAGCTACGGATTGTGCAGTAGCTATTGCACCAGTTTTCTAGTAGTGCTATTAAATCGAACCGATTAAATCAAAACCGAAAATCCTAACCGAATAACATATTTAGTCACCACCACTGTCCATCTCCTACCGCCACATTTAATGTTGTTTTCATCGATATAACCTTTTAGACCAATTCCAATCATCGCTCATAACACAATAATAGAGACCGAGTAAGTAGCTATTTCATTCAACCAACCTCTAAAAAAACACCATTTTACTGTGTGGGATAGCTTCACGCACACCAAAATATATGACCTCTAAAAATCATCATTTTATCGTGATTGGATTGAAAGCACCATTTTAATATGTAAAAATTATTATTTTAATGTTTTGTGATTGGAGTTAGTCATTACACTAATTGAGAAATGGCTTCCTTACTAGTACTTACTAATGATCTCACTGATAATTTAAGTGTTTTCTCGTTCTTGTTACTTTCCTTTTTGGGGGTTGGGTAGGCAGAAAGAAGGATGCTTGAGTATTCATTGTAAGGCAAAGGTGAGGGGATTTGGGAAACAGTAATAGGGGAGCCTACTACGAGTTGTAGGGTGGTTTCGAATGTTTGTCAACCCCATTTACCCTACTTACTTTAAATTCAATGTAGCCTGGAAGGCATGTAGAACTTGGACTTGATTGATGTTATTATATTGTAGTTGTCATTCTCACCATCAAAAAGGTCAAAAGGAGTGGAGGGGCAACATGAGAGAAATAAAATAAAATTATATCATGCATTGGATTGATCTACAGGGCTTTCTTGGATGTATTCGGAATGAGCAATTGTGAAGAGAATAAATTAAATAATAACCCATGGTCTATAGATATAGTAAAGCCATTTATAAGAAAAGAGAAATGTAAATGAACTATAGCTTATGTGATGGGTCGAAACAAGTTGGAGTTGATCGGTCAATATTTGATCTTATTTAAAGATTTTATAATAATTAAGGAATTACAGAAAAACTATTATATATTAAAACAAAATAAATTATAAAATTTGTTCATGTGGTACTACTCTAATTTCTTTTAATTAATGTCATTAATAGCGGTTTCGAAAGTTAGAAACAGCTTCATGTGGTGATTTGTTAGTCAAACTAACAAAGTTATAAACCCATTGGGATTGTATTCACATAATCACATCCATATTCATAATTATTCATGATTTAATCTCATCTAATACAAAACCGATTAAATAATAAGAAAGATATGGTTCCCAATATGACATACAATAGAAAAGTGATTATACAAAAAGAAACTCCTCTAGCATAAAGGGATGAAAATCTGCCAAACTTTAATGTCAGAATCCAAACCGCCACTGTAGATAAAGTAAGAAGCCAATGTATCAGATGAACTACCATCATCTATTTCAGATGTCAAACACTTCACTGGACCTTTATGCCCCTCCAATACAGCCAAACAAAAGTAGCATTTCCCCATTCCTCTCCAAATTCTTATAGTTTCATCTTCTGACCCGCTACACACCAGATCCGATACAACACTCAAACACAATATCGACTTAGAATGACCCCTGAGAATAGTAACTACTACCATATTACCCTCATCGTCACTCTTCTCCCAAACCATAATAGATCTATCACTCGCACCCGAATACAAAACCATCTCATTACTGCTTAACACCAATGCATTAACCCCAGATTTGTGTTTCTTTAGTGTACTAACCAGAAAGTGGTTCTGATTTTCTGCTGATTTCCTCCAGATTTTTATTTTTTTATCAGTGGATCCTGTATAAACATCTCCATCACTCGATATCGCAATCGTGTTTATTGCATCATCATGTGCATTAGCTACAGACTCTACACATTTGAAGTCAGTTGTTCGCCAAATCTTTAGTGTCCTATCCCATGACACCGAGTAAATGACCAAACCGTCCCTGGACAAGGCGAGTGCTGATACAGTATCAACATGATTAACCCATGTGGAGGTCTTGTGGCGTCTCACTTGTACGTGGTTCTTTGGTGTTAAAAGCTTAAGTGCCCAATCTCCAAACGTTGGGAGTGTGGCTAAGTGTGTTAATTTCCGCTCTTGCCCCTCGACTTTCCATGCACGGATTTTGTGGTCTTGATGGGCACTGAATATTTTGTCGGAAGAAACGATGAGTGACTTTATTGCACCTTCTCCTGTGATCATGATGCTGTCACTTTGATGTTCTTGATCGAATTGATCTGATGTTGTTAAGGTGTCGCGTTTCCATATACGGATTTCTTTGTTGGAAGAGCCGGTGTATAGCAACTTTCCATGAATGACAAGAGAGGAGATGTAGGAGTTGTTGCATTTGATTGTGGAGATGCAGTGGTAATATGGATGATGGGGTTGTGATGTGATGGCCGGAATTGAATCAATTGATTGGGTGTAGAGAAAGTCTGAGTCTTGGTGAAGATAATAAGAATATTGCAACAATGGTTCATCTTGTGAGTTAGAAGTTTGAAGATATGACATCTTTTAGTATAAAGTGAAGGATGTGATTAGGAGTTTATAGAAGATTATAATCAATAGCAAGTGTTTGTTTGGCAAAAAGTGTTCCCAGGTTATACGGTATTTAACTAAAAAAGTTAACCCAACTTTCCAACCTATGTAGCATATATGGGCCAGGATGGAGTCTCGGATTATTGGCAGGATCATCCACTTGAGTTCATATCTCTCTAGGTTTCTATTTATGTTGACCCTATTATAGATAACCTATATATTAGTTTTGAATCTAATTAATTTTAGGTTTCGATTAATTAAAGTTTATAGTTGTTCTATTCAAGTGTGACCCATAATTAAGGTGACTGACATAATAGCTTAATGTCCACCGGAAGTCCAGTTCATTGGTATTTATATTGCAGCGGTAGAGATTCGAACCCTTAACCATTTCTCCAAATAAGTTTCCATATGTCTACTTAATAAGTCATATCAGTCCATTAAGGCCCATTGCTATAAATGTGTGATAGAACATGACAAAACACACCGACTTTTACTTTTACCACTACAAGAATAATAGGCAACAGCGGCGACACCTTCAGTAGCGATTGGCACTTTTAGCGGCGACATCAAACAAACGCGTTTTTTGTCGACGCTAAAAGTGTATGTCGCCATTAAAGGCGTCGCCACTAAAGGCTTATGTTGGCGATCCGTGTCATTTGAATACTAACCATCGATTTAGGCGATTATCCAAGGATTAGGAGGACGTAGAAAACCCCGCGTTGTTTTCCCTCCGGTGTGTCGCCGCTAAAGGCTACTTGTCGCCGCTAAAGGCGTCGCCGCTATTGCATGTTCTGGCGATCCGCGTCATTTCAACCCCATCCGTCGATTTAAGCGATGATCCAACGACGTAGGAAACCCCGGATTGTTTTCCCTCCGATGTGTCGCCGCTAAAGGCTGTCTGTCGCCGCTAAAGAGCGTCGACAATAAAATCAGCTTCGTCTTCACTTTCTTCCCTAATCTTCTGTGTTTTCCCTTCTTCTCTCTTCTCTCTGCTCACCACCGTCGACCTCATCGGAATTTCACCGGAATCTTGAAAACTTCACCCCTATTCCTCTCCGTTTTCCCCTTTTCTTTTCCTTTTATCTTCTCCCTACTAAATTTGTTTTGGTTGTCGTAATTTTGAGATCATCCACCGTGCTCGCCGGAGTATACCGCCACCACCACTGTTCATGACGAAATTTTGATAATTTAGATGTGTATTTTGTGTTTGTAGATGTGGATATGTATTTGTATTTGCATTTGTATGTATATGTGTATTTTGAGTGTATTTTATGTATGTATATGTGTTTTTGTATGATCATTTATATGTATATGTGTATTTTGTATGTGAATTCTGTATGTGTATGTGTTTTTATATGTATATGTGTATTTTGTATGTGTATTATGTATGTATGTGTATTTGTATGTATAAAAATACATATAAATAACGACGACACCTTTAGTGGCGACAGATAGTATTAGCAGCGACGCACTTTTAGCGGCGACGGAAGGCAATAGCGGCGACCAACGGAGCATTAGCGACGAACCAACAGCAACGACCCTTTAGCGGCGACATATTTAACCTTTAGCGGCGACGCCCGTCGCCGCTAATACTCTAATTTCTTGTAGTGTACTGAGTTTAATATGTATCGGACTTGTGTTTTGCATTTAGTGAATATACTTATATTGATATCAATGGAACAAAACAAGACCCTCTCTCAATCTGTAATATGTGCAAAATAGTCCTAGAAAAGCTTGTCTATAACAAACACATCTGAAATTAAAGGGAATTAAATGCAAGAAAGGGAACACTTGATATGGTGCATAATTTGTCTATTTGTTTGATATGGCAAGTTTTTTTTACGGGATATTCGTCCTCCCATTTTCACTTAAATTAAGCAACATCACCGAACTTTTTAATCTCAATCATTGAAGTTAGGAGGAAGTCAGTAACTCTGTTGTGTTGTTCATTGGCCTTACTGAGAGACTGCTACTGTCTTTCTGGACATGTACTCTTTAATTACTTTACAAAATAGGTAATTTTACTTTTGTGCCAAACGCTATATATGCAGATTATGGAAAATTGATCTGTTTCCAGACTAAAAGCCTAACAATTGGGTGTTTATAACTAACTTTGTAATTATATATCATATCTTATTACCTTTTTCCTGATTCTATATGTTGACCCAATTAATGTTATATGCAACTTTGTCTCACTGGGTTGTACCCTAATGCTTATACAGACAGCTTGTAATGCTCCCAATGTGCCACAAAAGAAACAATAAAATATATCAAATAAAAAGATAACACCCTTTTTTTAGTGTTGGCAGGCACACTATCAGTATTGAGTGATCATTTTCATTAATGTAAAGATTACCACTTACTGAAATCAATGATTTTTGGATGAGAGTTTTGTATTTAGGAACTTCGTATTTTCTGCTATAAATACATATTATGCCAAAGTATTATTTTAAATGAAGGAGAAATTAACCCACTACGTTTTTTTTACCGGTTCTAAGTCAGTTTTTCGGTTGTTAATCACTAAAAAAAGATTATCAAGTGTAATAAAGTTTAAGAAAAAGTAATTTCTTTATACCTGCACCAACTTAATTCATATATAAATTACTTGAAGATTTTGTTGCTTTTGCTCATCCTAGCTAGATTATATAATCGTGTGTGCATGAATTTGTACCCTTCTTTTTGTGTGTGTTTGAATTAAAGCATTTTGGATATTTATTGCCGGCCTATTAACATATTGCACTAATTAAGTGCACATGCACATATTATAATGTGCTTGGTGGTTCAGATTCTAAAGACATACTATCACAGCCTTTAATGATGTTGTCATATAAATGGCCTCTTAGGTACCTTTTACTAATCTCCCGGGATTTTTTGTTGTGTGATGATAGTTACTCAAAGTAAGATTATAGTAAGATAGAAAGATAACGGGTTCCTTTCTGCACCTATAGTTGGGGACATAGCAAAAGAAGTGGTAGGCAGAAAGAAAGAGTTGGTGTAAATTTCGATTTACTTTTAGGTAGCCACATCAATGGCATACCAGTGAGCTCGTGGCTACCGGGCCCAATAATATTGAAGAGAATGTGTCGATTTGTGTTTATGTGCTTTCTTTCTTGGGGTCCAAGTAGGATCGATGCTTGATTGTTCATTGAAAAGCAAAGGTGAGGGGGTTTGTGAAATAGTATAATATAAGGGGCCTACTAGGAGTTGTAGGGCGGTGTACGTTGTTGATCATATCTATCTTATTCAACCCCCTTTACCCCTACCCACCTTAATTTCAAAGTAGCCTTTGATGACTTATACTGCTCATAACCACCATATTTGGACTCAATATAACCTAATGGTGCCCCCATGGCTTAATTTAGTTTTTTCCGGGATGATATACTAGCTTGGAGAAATGGTAAAATGAGTCTCAACAACCATAACATAAAAGTTTTGATTTCAATATAAATTGTTGGCGGAAGAATAACCTTTTGTAGAAGTATATCCTAGTAGCAGCCAAGGGTGGTGGCAGTGAATTTCGCGTTTACTAGATGGCATGTTTTATGGGAAGATAGCCACAAACGATAAACTAGCAAATGTGGAAATAATCTTCTTTTGTCAAAACTTTCTCAACCATGAATGAACTGTTCGAGACATTTTGCATAGGTTGAATGAACTGTTTGAGACATTTTGCATAGGTTTTACCGTTTTAGTGATCTAGACTAATATACAGGTCCGGCCCAAGAGGGGGGCAAACTGGGCAACGGCTTAGGTCCCCTTACTTTTTGGGACCCAATTTTAAATCTGTTATTATTTATCTATATATTTTCGTGCCGAAAGTAGAAAACGATCTAATAGTAGCCTACTTGGTAAAGCGTCCAACACCTTCTAAAAGAAATGTGCGTTTGATCCGTACTGTGTCGTTTGCATTATTTTTACGAAATTTTACGTTGCTGATAATTATGCATATTTAAAAACCTAATACATAAGTTACTCGGCAGTACCAAAAAACATTAAATTTATTATGTTTGTTTCAAGTGAAACCTTTTTTCCATATTTAACTTTATTTTATATTTATTTAAACATATTTAACAGTTTAATTAAATATTATGTACGTTTCTAGAATACTTGCTTTTTACAATTTAAAAAAAACATCATGATCGCTTAATTTATATATAAGTATAGTTTTGTATGTATATTATATTTAAAAAAGCAACAAATACCAAAACTATTGTTTTATATGTAAATATAAATATATTAAAAGAACAACAAATATCAATTAGGTCATCTCCAATGACAGTTTAATGGGGGGTTTAATGAGGAGTTTAATCTCATTAAACTCAAAATCCTCATTGTGGGAAAATGATTAGGATTCAATAGAATGGGGAGTTCAATCCCCATTGAACTTTATACTCTCTCTCCTCACACACACACACACACACACACACATATATATATATATAATATAGATATATATATATATATATATATATATATATATATATATATATATATATATATATATATATATATATATATATATATAGGAGTAGGATCAAATGAGAACACCCAAAAGGTTGAGAACGCGAGAACATATCTAAACCATTTAAAAAACTAAATCTAAGGTTATTATTGAATTGGCCATTTATGTAAAATTTTAAAAGTTACAGGTATTAAAGTGTAACTTCAAATGGTGATAAGGGTATTATAGTAATTGGACCTTTACCACCGTTATTTAATTCCTATAATTCCTCAATCACTCGCCTATTTCCTTCTATTTCCCATCTCTCTCTTCATCTCTCTCTGTAAACCTAGGTACGCCTCCACCCTACGTCATCGATCCACCACAAAAGGGAAAAGAATGGTGAGACAGATTGGAATCGATGAAGCCAAAAAGGGGGAAAGGGAAACAGGATCTCGGAATTGCTTTTGATCAGAAGGAGAGGATTCACGAACGGAGCAGGGATCTGGAGGCATAGTCGATTGGGGAATGT